AATGGAGGTATGTGATACAGTTCTGAGTTCTTGTAGGTTTTGAGGCTTAAGCATGCGCGTGTTTTGTTGTCGAGGACTTGTACATAAGTAATGAGAAGGTTTTAAGTGCTTGAGAGGGTCAGAAGTACAAGATATAGGTTGAATGCTATGTTACTTGATTTTGAAGAAAAGTGTGAGCATGGTTCCAAGATGAAGTACAAGCACGGGTTGAGTGATTGTGAGGCTTGAGACAAACTTCTCTAGAGTTATAGGACGTGTATGATCAGAAGAAAACCATTGCAAGGCTCAAGAACAAGTTTTGTGTATAAAGTTACTTTTTCAAAATGGCATTGTGCACTTTTTCCCCAAAATGGATATAAAGCATGACATTGCATTGAATGCTTGAGTTGAAGCCCCTAACAGCTATGCAAGAATTTAATTATGGAGTTCCTAAAAAGTTTGAGTCCTGTAAAGTAGAGATTATGCAACATAGGTTTGAGATTTGAATCTTTGTTCATCACAAAATGACCTATAATTTTAGTTTGAAACCCTAACTTCCTCTCTTCGATTCTCCCTGCTCAAGAATGATCTTAAGGAGTTCTTGGACATTTTAGAAAGCTTGTAATGTGATATACAACCCCTATTTGAATTACTTTTGAAAATTCCCCTTGGAACTATATGAAAAAGTGCCATCAAGTTAGGTTAAAATCCTGCCTAAATTAGGGCAAATTTTTACTAAGTGTTTAATTTCAAGACTATGACTTCATGAATTAATAACTTGAAATCCAAGCATTTATAGGAGAAGTTGTGTAAAGAAATGTTGTAGATATCATGGAGATCTACAACTTTCATTTTGAAAGTTTATTTTGAATCATCTTGCATCATGGTGAAAATTTGGCTCAAAATTGTAAAAAAACATGAAGTTTTCAACACTTAGAAAAATTTCTAAGTTTGAAAACTTTGACTTTTCAAAATGAAATCTTGACTTTTTGATTTCTTGATGAATAAGTTTCATATTTTGACATGTTTTGATGAATTGTGATCTTTGACACTTGATTTTGATCAAAAAGTCAAAGTTTGACTTTTCAGTATACAATTGACTTTTGATCAGTTGAGTGAAAATCAACTATCAATCCAATTGATCTTGAGCAATATTTTGAATCATGTCATTAGGTAAAAATGATGCAATTGAACTCTTGAGATTATGCTTCAAACCAATTAACCATTTTCTAGGTCAAAAATCAGAAATTGCCCTTTCTCAATAAAAACCCTAATTTTGACCATTTTGCCCTTTTGATGATTTGATCAAATTTCTTGAGGAATTATGGTCCAAACTTGACCAAATGATACATATGAGTTTATAATATTTATTTGGATAAAAAATTATGAAGTTTGACTGTAAATTGGCCACAGTTGACTTTTTCTCCAATACAGCTGATTTTTAGGTCAACTGCTCAATTGAGCAAAAATGTGATTCAAGGCTTGAAACTTGACATGAGTAATATTGGAGGTCCATAATGATCCATGAAAGTCATATAAGGCATTGAAAATTCAATTATCCTTGTGCAATCTCAAACCCTAATTTTAGTCATTATTGCTTAAAGAGATGTCTTGAGTTGATCAACCCTAGTGCAGTCTTGAACCAAGAGAGATCTTTGTGAGAAAATATTTGATAAGTGAGAGGGAAAATTTTGGGGATAACAATAATATTTTTGGATCTGCTAAAGCTTCTTTAGGAAGATAATTTCCTAAATCTATGCAGACAAAATTTGAAATGAGTCCCCTCTCGAGCAGGCACCTCTTTATATGATCGGTGTAGGGAACCTGAATGACCTCCCGGTTGAACCGATCAACAAATTCCCTCAGGGTCTCATCGTGTCTATGGATGATAGCCTCGAGGGTTTCTTCAGTCTTTGGGTGTCGACGTGAAGTAGTAAATGAACTGATGAATTGGTTCTTTAAATTTCACCAGGAGGTGATTGACCCCGGGGCGAGACTCTTGTACCAATCCATCGCAGCTTTCCTCAAAGTCTTGGGGAACAACCGACATTTGATTGGTCCCCCGACATTGTGATAATGCAGCATTACCTCGAACCCGTCTATATGGTCGACCGAGTCGGCACTGCCGTCGTACTCCTTCAGATGGGGAGGCTTCTCCATGCCCGGGGGGATGAGTGCCTTCATAATGGCTTGTGACAAGGGACCGCGGGGGTCGTCCTCGTCACTCCTGTCTGGAGAGCGAGAAGGATATTTGTTGTAGTGGTGGTTATGATGGTGGCCCTGGTCGGGCGAAGCGTTCCTCGGGCGGTACGGTCTCTTGTTATTTCCCCTGTTCCTATCTCCAGGGGGTCTTTGATCTTGACGCGAAGGGATGTGATCGTGTCTCCCCGTGTCTACGGGCTGGTCCCTCTCCAATGTGGGGTGTCGCCCGATTAGTCAGGGAGAGGGACTTCGAGAGGCGTCCCGCCTGCGTCTCCGTGAGGGAGATTGGGGACGTTCCTCTACTTGGCGAGGAGGAGGGGAATGGGGCCTCCTATGTCTTCTAGGGGCTCTCCGAGCATCTTCGAGCGCCCTCAATCTCTCTCCTTGAGAGAGGATCAGATAATTTATTTGGTTTATCGCCGCAAATAGTACCCTAATCGTGGCATCTGCTCCAGCTGGAACGGGGACCTCCTAGAATTGGTTGGGTTGGTAGTTCTGAGGAGGTGGCCGTTCATCTTTGAATCGTCGGGACAATAACAACGATGAGGAAGTCAGCCTGTCTTTGTACTCTTAGAGGCCGGGTATGTCGGTGGTTGGTGTTGATGTCGTTACCGGTGTTGAGGCTAATGGGAAAAGCGTTGTGGCCGACAGGACCAGTGTTGTTGACGTTGACGTTATTGTCGGCGATGCTATTATTGGCGTCAGTGAGACGAACATTCATGTTGTTTTCTGCTGTTTGACCAGCCATGACAATTATAAAGGAGTGTGATTTAGCTTTTGTCTTGTGTAAATGGAAGATGGGGAAGAAAGTTTCCCACAGATGACGCCACTGATCGTACCTGATCAGAATAAACCGTCACAACTAGCTCGAGCAGAAGTTGAGAGTGAAGTGGGGGGGTACCTGCAAGACACACTGATGCCAAAGTAAGTTCCAGAATGAGCGAGCAAGTATGTGAGTAAGGAATGTTCAATACACTGACCCTCTCGTAAGAGAGGATATTTATAGCCCCAACGCTGGGCCAAGCTCTCCCCATTGGGCTGGTTAAGTAGGCCCAACATGGAGACAGCCAGGTCCTACATGAGTAGTGGGGACCCGCACGTGATCCCCTACCTAGATGACTTGTTCCGCAATATCTGGAGGATATGAATGCGATCTTTCCGGGGCTACGAAGACTCCTTGATATTCAGAGACGTTGATAGTCAGCCCTACGAGGAGGATGCTCGCGAGGTGCTTCTGCTCGTCATGGATGCTCCTAATGAACGTGAGGTCGTGTGATAAGACCTTTATGGTCGAGGAGAGGATTGAAGCGGAACCTCGAGGTCCTCCTGACCTGCGATGATCCTCCTGAGGGTAACTGGGTTCCTCCCCATGTGGTGAGTTGTGTCTCCTCGTGGGGAGTAGTTGTTGTCCGTCGGTATCAAGGGCAGAATCGACCAACATGTTATGGACGACACAATTGGATTGTGCCTCACATGGAGTTGGATCAAGGGCAGGCCCGGTCCAGAATAGTTTTTGAGTTAAATCTATATAAAAGTTGTTGTAGGTTCTTGAAGTAAGACTGCATAAAAGCTCTAGTTATAGATTCTTGAGGTAAACTTATATAACTTTGTTTATTGTTGAAGGTTTATGAGCAGATCATATGTAAAAGCTACAATTGGTGTTGAAGGTAGTTTGGGTTGATACTTTAAAAGCTCAAGTTAATTTTTAGTGGAACTCTCGTGAAGAAACTCTTGGAGACAAAAGTAAGACAAGTGGTTAGGATAACCTATATAAATATCAGGTGCAATCTTTCTATCCTTTCTCTCTTTATTTGTTATTGTTTATTTTGTTTCTAATGAATATATCTCTTCTTCTTCGTCTTCTTTCTATCTTTCCGCTGCCAATTTTCTATTTGTTTATCAAATCTAATATAAATGTTTTAAAAATCAAAGTTTTTATAAATTATTTTAAAATTTTAAATAATAATATTCATACCCTCTTATGTTTAAAGTCATTTAGTCAACAAAACAACATCTCGTAAAAAAAACTTCCAAAATCAAACTAAAATCATTAATTTTGTTCGACAATTTAAGGATTAAAACGGTAAATTTACAGTAGTATTTTTAAATATAACATGTAGTCAATAGCTCTAAACTAAAATGACAAAATGTGGTAGATATTGAAGCAGAATAGGAGGCTATCAAACATGAAAATAGGACATACGAATATGTGAAGATGTGCTTACTGCATAGGTAAAATTAGATGTTTACCTACCATTTGACACTTTTGGAACTCCTTTTTGTAATTAGACTAAATACAACTCATGTAGATAAGTAGAATCCTTGTCCATTCAAGGACAAAACACTTGATTGAATTAGCCAAATGAGGTGTTGGTTCTAAAGCAAAAACGGGCATGGCAAATCCAGAAATGCCAGTGTTTAACACTGAAGGTTTCGGTATATGTTGGTTTGCAAAATGACTCCCTAAAGCTAAGGCATGAATGAACCATAACTTATTGTAAATGTTCATGCAAACAGCTTCCAATCAAAATAGTTCTTCTTGAACTGGTATGGTAGTGTTTGAGCAATGGAAGTGTAACTGTGCACAATTTTGTGATAAAACCTTATAAACCAAAGGAAACCTAGGAGTGCCTTCACCACTTAAGTAGGCCAAATCCTTAAAAACATTACCAATTTCATACATTGAACATAGTCCTAAACATTACCATTCATGATGAAAAGTGAAAATTACTTGTGTCACTACATGATTACATATTAACATCACAAGGCCACAACACTTGGTATCTAAAAGGATGACTATTTTTTAACCCGCCACAACATCAATCGTCATCATCTTCTTCTTCAAACTCCTCTTCCTCTTCCTCCTCCTCCTCCTCCTCCTCATCTTCGTCATTGTCCTGTTCCTCCTCGCCGTCTTCTTCATCAGTAACAATGAAACCTCCAAGCGTCTCATCCTCATCATCATCATCATCGTCGACTTCATCATCATCTTCTTCATCTTCTTCAACAGTTTTGTTGACAGTAGATGTTTTCTTTCTTTTAGCTCCTCCTTTGTCTCTAGACCTTGTGGAGTAGAGAGGTTTCTTACCTTTCCCCGTCTCAGCAACAAGGTCTTTATCATCTTCACTATCACCGGTCCACTCGTCATCCTCATTGTCTTTAAATACTTTTCGCTTCCCCTTTGTTTTCCTCTTCCCCTCAAAATCATCTTCATCCTCATCCTCGCTTTCTTTGCTAGGCTCATCGAGAAACCAGTTCCAATTCTCCACGTCCAGGATCATGCCCTTTGGATACCGGTCAAACTCATGTCTCATCACAAGAAAGCCAAACTCTGCATTTTCAAAACTTAAGTATCTTCAAAAGTATTCATTCAACAAGGTAACAATTGGTTGACGTGAATTGAACAAGTTGAACAGTCATAAAAAAACGACGACGATGATAATAATAATAATGAAAGAAAGAAAAAAATGGTTGGATAGAAAATGCAATAGTACCTTTAACAGGGTCAATTTGGGAAATATGAATGTGAGGTATGTTGAGTTTGAACCAAATGGGTGTTTTCCCGGACAAGCAGAAACGGTCTCCGAGTTCCAAGTGACCCTTATCGAACTTCTTGAAGAGGTTAAGCGTTTTGTCGGTGTTGTTCAAAACCCAAATGGGGTTTGTGCCGATGACTTGGAACGAAACCCTAGGAGGCTCTGAGTCGGAGTCGGAGTGGTTGAGTTGGAATGAAACGTGACGACGGGAGACAGTGTGGTCGTCGGTGTTAAAACCACAACCTCGTCCGAACAATGCTTTCTCGCCACTTTCCAGACGGAACTTCGAACCATCTTCGCCTTCCAGCTCCATCCACGATTAGTAATTTAGTATCAACGATATCTTAACAATAAGATTAAATTCATGCATTTTATATATTTTTTTAATGGTAAATAATAACATATATAAAATGAGGTGAATAAACTTCATACTATAATATTGATTACCATCAAACAATTCAAATGAGAACTACCAACCAAGAGGTCACTACTAGTACAAGATCCAAAGAATCATCTCGTTGGCAACAAGTTAGAACTCAAGTCATTAGATCCATCATCAATGGATCGAATTCCATTAAAAAGAACACCAAAAAAATCAAACTCTAAAATCTACTGTCGAACTAAGACAAACACTCAGGTGCATGTAGATGTAAGTTCTAAGCCATTTAGTGAAGGCGGAAGACTTCACTTTTGTTTTTTCTCAAGAATCATTCCTAGGCAAAAAAACATCTTTCTCCTCCACGTCTTTTGTTGATTTTGTTACCCATTTGAAAATTACATCATTGTGGGTTTTTCAGATGGACCAAATCACACCAAGACAAACCAAGAGATAACCACCCACATACTTAGTTATGCCCTCTAAAGAAAGAAAATACTTAAAAATCTATTTAGGATTGTTAGGAATAACTTCTTGTCACTCTAACCACTTAAGTATTTTATATCACACAGACAAGACAAGATCACAAGTAATAAAGAGATGGAAAGCTGACTCAACTGAAAATCCACAAAAGGAACAAGGGATCCTACTAGGACCATAAATCACCTCTCTCTTAGACATATTTTCTCTAGACGAAAGTCTATCTTGCAAAAGTTTCCAAGAGAAAACTAAGATTTTAAATGGAGCCCAACTAATCCAGATAAGGGGAGGATCAGAAACTCTGCCGAAAAAGGAACCAAATGAGGATATGAATTGACCCTCTAAACAAGATAGGCGGAAGTCACCGAGAAAATTCCTTCTTTCTCATGCTTCCAGATCCATTTATCTGTATCCTAGGATAATGTGACCTCTCGAAGCAGCGTAAAAAGTTCCTCAAAGACCGGTAACACTCTAAGAAAGAAATTTCTCTACCACTTAATATCCCAAATCAAGACCTCGTTAACTACTAAACATATCTCTCCCACCAATCCATCAGACTAAACAGAATTCTATAACAAACCAAGAAACTTAGTCTTTAGAGGATTATACCTTAACCAAGGGTTCTTCCAAAAGGAAGTTCAGTTACCTAATCTTGCTTTCCTAATGATAAATCAACAAACCAATATGAGTTATCATTCTTTTTGGACCCAATAAGATATACCCATTTCCACTAGGAATAAAAAAAAGTAGAAAATCTCAGACATCCCTCCATGATGAGAGGAACTTATTGCAGCTCCATATCTAGCTGCAAGAATATCTCGCTAGAGGCCTTAATCTCATATGATTAGCCTTCATCTTCATTTTGACAGAAGGGCAAGATTAACTAATTGGAGGTCTTACTTCTAATCTCCTATATTTTAGGTTTACACACATCTTCCCGCTTAATCCAAGAGATCTTTAAAGCACCTTTTACACCCCCCCAAAAAGAACCTTCTTGTAACTTGAAAATATTCTTCCAAACTTTTACAAGCATCTTCAAAATAGACAATAAGACGAGAATAACACTAAGCACAAAATTAAGTAGAACAATTCTACCTCCCAAACTAACATATATATGCTTCCAAGAGTTGGACCTTTTTTCCAACAAGTTAAGCAAATTTTCCCAAGTGGTACCAAGCTAAGGCTTAGCCTCCTTTGGCAACCCATGATACTTGAAAGGAAGAAAGTCAATCTCATAGTGGAGAAAATCTCCTGTAGAGGATAGAAATGTAGAATCCACATTAACCCCTATAATACCACTTGAAAAAATTCACTTAAAACCTCCAAGAATATCCTTAAAGCTTCACAAATTCTACAGGGTAGGGTCATCCACCAGGAGAGTATCGTCAGCATACTGTAGATGGGACACCACCAACCTAGACGAGCTAACTAATAACCAAGAGTAGAGACCAATCTATTTAGGCTTAGTGACTAGACTACTAAGATCTTTAACCACTAAAAGGAAAATAAAGAGAGTTAGAGGGTCCCCATGTTTCAAAGCCCTTTGATTGTTAATCTCATGGGTAAGGAACTGTGATACAGTGAGAGAACTGACTTGGTGTTTTGCGTTTTATTGCAAATGTTGCAGATAGCAAGAGTCGTCACCACTTTTCTTTTATCTAATAAAGGAAAGGGTGAAAAGAATAGGAAAAACCTTTTGAGAATTTTCTTGAGTTCGGGGGGTAGGTTATAAAAAGGGAAGGTATTAACACCCTTTTTATTTGTAGTTATCTACGGGCTCTTAATTGCTTGATCAATTTGAAATGCTTTTGTGAATGTGTTTGTTTGAAAATATTTTGAAAAGTGATGTCGTTTGGCAAACTTTGTAATGATTCTTGTCTCTATAAGAATGCATACGAAGTGTTGACTTTGAAAATATTTCAAGAAAGTGTTGGTGTATTGAAAGATGTTTTGAAAATGCCAATGTAAGGCAATTTTGTAATGATTCTCGTATCGTTGAGAATGTATACAAAATGTTTGTTTTGACAAAGTGTTTTGAAAGTGTAAGGTGTAAATGGTTTTGTTTGTGAGCAAGACATTACGAGCACTCTACCTACTCCAAAGAAAGTCTTTGTTCTTTTCCTCCTCCTCTAGATAGTGCTAGTATACCATTGCTTGATAAAGAGCCATATCATTGGATGTGAGGGACGAATGTGGGTCATCGTATAGTCATAGAAGGCAAATTGTAAGATGTTTTAGAAATTTGTCATAAGAGACTAAGATCTTTTACCGAAGGCAACATTGAAGGATCATCGAGGGACTATGATCTTTTAATCGAGGATTTTTGCTAAAACATCCCATGTTCGAGGGACATGACTGTTTAAATATGAGGCAACAAGTGTGGGTTACACTAGAGGTGCATATGTGAAAAGTGTTTTTGTTTTCATGTATTTTATCTTGAATTAGGGTTGTCTAAGGTTAATCTTAAAGTCTTGGCATACAAACCCTAATTACTAACAATAATATGGAAAGCGATAAATTACAAGATTTAATGTCCTACGCTATTACAATACTTTGGGGGATAGGGGATACAAATTTACAAATGGGGATGACAAGTGAAAATAAACCCTAATTACTATTACAAGACTTTGACAATTACATAAATTGTAGCGCGAAATAATAAAATGTACAAAAATGTAAAGATGAAGAAAAGAGATTGCTTTTTAGGGTTTTTTGATAGAAAATGTTTTGTAGTTAATTTAATTGTAAAAGGAGTCGATTAATAAAAAATAAAACCTAAGTTTAATGATTTCAATTATTTTAGAAAATAACTTGAATGTTTTATCTAGAAAAGCTTTTGTATAGTGTTGGGTCATCTCCAAGCAATGCAATATGTCCAAAGTAACCTTAATGATCTAAAACTACAGCAAAATATCAAAAATTAGGAATTAAGGCATGAGCTGACACGGGCCGTGCCAGCGGACACGGGCACCCGTGTCAGGATCTGTCCCTGGCCTTGCACATGTTTTTCTGTCCCAACTGAGTTGACACAGGTGGTGTCATGTGACACGGGCGCCCGTGTGACACGGGCGTCCGTGTAAGCCCCTGTCTTGCTTTTTGGTCTATCTTCCCCCTTGACACGACCTCCCGTGTTAGGGCTCCTAGAGCATTTTTTTAGATTTTTGATATTTGCACTTTTATGCCTTGATTTATCCTGTTTTATTCTTTTGAAAACAAATATAAATGATGTATGGATAAATATATCAAAGTTTGAGGAAACTTACCTCTTTTGGAGAAAAGTCGGAAGCCTCTTCTAGCTGTTCCAGGCGCAATATTATGATGGATTAAGCTCCCTTGGACCTTCTTGAAGCTATACCAATTCTCACTTTGTGCTGAAAGTTGCTGAATCACTCCAACCAAGTCAAGTTGCAAGGTACGATTTTTGAGTTTGGAAGATAGTGATAATGATGTTACAGAAGTTGTTCTTGTGTTTGAACAACTTCTATATGATGCGTGTGAAGTATTTGGATGATTTGTTTAGGCAAAACTTACAAGGTTTGAGAGATTCAAAGATTTAGACTTCAAAGCTCAAAAATGGAGGTTTTATGGACAATTCTGGTTTTTTGAGAGTAAAGGGGTTTTGAGGGCTTGTTCATATCTACTATCTTGAAATTGATCTCTCTATTTATTGGCAAGAGGTTTTAAGACAAAGGTTAATCAGATTTGCAAGATCACATGTTGTGGCTAGATTGGATTGTAAATGAAGCAAGCTTAAAGATCATAGTTCCAATGCTTTGTACTTGACTTCATAGAATTGTTGGATACTTTAAGCATGTTTATCTGATTTTGTATGTTGAGTGTGTGTAGAGGGAATAAGTTAGAGGCTCAATAAGAGTTGACTTTATGATTAAATCTACTTTGCAAGAATGATAATGTTAACTTCGTGCCAAAAATGGAAAAATCATTTGGACAATGCTTAAATCAAATGGACCATAGCTAAAAAGTTTGTGTAAACATTAAATTATGGTGAGATTTGTAAGTTAGATGGCATGCAAAGCAAGATTATACAGCATAGCATGTAGATTGGATTATGTGTTCTTCACCAAAATGACTTGTAATTCAAGAATGGATGCCGAACTCCATGCCTTTGAATTTCCTAGCTCAAGTATGATAAATTCATGCTCTTGAATGTTTTGGAAAGCTTGAAACATTGTCTACAACTTTCATGTTGACCACTTTGGCTAAATCAAATTTGAACTTGATGAAAATTGACTAAAAAGTTAGGACAAAAATTTGACCAAACTTATTGAAAATTTCTCTAAGTGTTTATACAAAAATGTCATGACTTCATGAGCCTATATCTTCAAATATAAGCATTTTTTGGACATTAACCCTCATACAAAGTTGTAGAATTCATCAAGTTCTACAAATTTCATGTTGAAAGTTTTCTTTGAATCATCTTGCATCTTGGTGAAAAA